AATCAATACGCGCTGTTATCCGTGTATTTCCAAATCAGAGCTTCAATTCAGTACAACATACTTTTGTGAAAAGAAATACATAAGTCACTTACCGTTAGTGACAAATGTTCAGAAGAGTACGGACCAGATGAACATCGACAAAATTTCTTTAGCGCCAATGTCTGTTACGTCTTCCTTCACTGATAAAAGGAAGTACGTTAAATTTGATTTATTGAGAAACATAAATGTAGTTTACATGTTGAAAAATTACCCTGTTATTACTTGTTTGTTTGATCATTGAATATAATTATTCTTCTAATTCAGTATCGTCTACAGAATTGTACAATTTCCTAGTTAAACATCAGTATGCCGACCAGTCATACTCAACATAGAATGCAGTACTTATGTGCATCGGCCCAAGTTGCTACTCCGAGTTGGTACAACGCGGTGAATATGTCAGGGCAAATCGAAGAGTAGCAGAAATAGTAGCAGTATCAATCGTAACAAAAAGATTAAATATCAAAGATACGATTCGAGAAATTATAAATTAGTGAAATGAAAAGACTATGTATCGATAAATAAATCCCCAAAACAAATAGCTCTGTAATTCTTCGACATTGGATGCTGACCACATTAGTTTTAGTGGACTCACCTAGCTGAGGACACTCGGTCACTCATCCACACTAGATCACGAGAGGGAACGCCGTACTCAACATCCCCTGCAATCGCTAGCCAGTCTAGATCAGTCGATCCTCGATATATTGATAATCTATCAAATATATTTTCGAACTTCCTCGCTTCTGTCTTTTGATTATACTTGGTGGGTACGATTCACACATACGTATACACAAAGCTACATGGATCTCACCGGACCACACCACAGAGAACCAGATAGATCATATTTGCATCAATAAAAATTTCCGAAGGACAATATAATTACCGACTGTTGCATACATATCAGTCGATTGTGACAGTAAAAATCAGTGGGTAAGAGTTAGGAATAGAAGAACAAGTGACGCAGTCCTTAAAACGCTGAAAAACGAAAAATTCAGATCAAGGTTCTCTACTACATGTCTTGGTGTTGAGAGATAGCCAGCAGCTCAAATATAAGCCAAATCAGAAAACTGCCAAGTCAGTTGATGGCTGTAGTCGATATGTATTTGTTGGCGATCTCGTGGTATCGAAAGAATACCGAGGTCGTGCCAAAGGAGTACAAGCGGAATCACTGAGCAAATGTAAGCGCGTTTAAGGTCACAATCAACGGAAGGAAGAATGTCTTTGGTACAGTTAGACAAACAAGTACAGCAAAACAATCACTGGTACAATCGGTAATAATAGTAATTGTTTCCATCACACCAATCGCGTTCTGTTGACAAAAGTAGGTCACTACAAGGGGACTGATGTAAATAGACATTTTTCATTAAGCCCAACAGAGATTCAGTTACGGCAAGTCCGGAGCGTTCAATCTTTTCGAAGCACAAGACAGGTGTACAACCTGTCAGAAGCAAAAGATACCGGTCCGTTTTGACCTTGTGAAAGCGTTTGATACAGTATCATATGCTTTAAACACAGATAGCGAATATAGGTTTCAGTGATCCATTTATATACTGACTCCGAAATTACCTACAGAACAGGCTGTAAATAAAGTGCATATGAGGTAGAGGGTTCTGACGTTAAAAGTTTCTCAGGAGACTATCTTACGTACACTCCTCTTCCTGACCTATGTTAATGATCTTCTCGATAAAATCGGCTCAGTGGCATTGATCTACTAGGATGACGCAAAAATATAGCTTCATTAAAAGGAAGAAATAATTTCGTATCCGTATTACACATCCACGATCCCACACGCAGAAATCAAACCCAGAGTTTTAGTTGAGCGCGAACGCCTAACATGTAGACCGTTGAGTCAAGATCCTAAGGTGTTAATGTCTAGCCTCAGCAAATCTATGATACTGCCCGAAATTCTTTCATTTTCTTTGATAGAGAACTGCCTGACACCCGACACGACTGAACTCCACTGGTCCTAGCTTCCTACTTCAACTCCGAGAATCAACTCTAGAAGCTAGTCATCAGTAACGACATGATAATTTTTAGTATGTGGTTATGGAGATTGTTGAATTTCACTGACATTTCATTATTTTTACATTTTAATGAACCAATCTCCTACCTAGTAGTGTGATAGCTTATAGTATCCAGAGACCAGAAATATAGACAACTGGACATTACCAAAGACTTAAAAACGTATCATAACAACAAAAATTTAGCGCAAACATTCCAATGAGCGATCAGCAAAAGCTAAAGCGGCTAGTTGTCACAAGCTGTCTGATCCAAATGTCGGTGTATCACTAGTTCGATATTTGATGGCTGTTGTGTTATCTCGGTGAGCAAATATAACTTATGAACGGAATTCCAATAAATCCTTCTGTATATTTCTTAAATTCGTAGGTGGTATTAACAGTGTGATATTTGAACGTACAAAAACTGAAACTCTGTTTTAACACACCAGTTTTTAGAAATATACATTGGAAAGCACATGAATTACTTGTAAATGGCTATCAGTAGTGTGATAGTAGTAGTTCTTAAATTCCTGAGTCCTATACATTGGTGTGTCGACCTTATCAATTTATATACAATAAGTTACCAATTCATTTGTCCAAAGCGTGACTAGTTCTACTGAGTAGAGTCACCACAAATATCTCTCCAAAATCTACTTAAACACAACCTCATTATGGGTAAGAAATCATTTTCCTAAATGAGTTCAGTGCAAATCTTCATGAAATATTTTCACAGTCGGACTTGTTCTCTGTAAATAAGCTACTCTCGGATTTTCCATTTAATCTCAGAAGAATTTAAATTTACTTTATTATTTCTGAAGTCTTTATATCAAGCTCATGTCACGTATTTAAAGTACAAGTATGAAGCAGGAATATAAATACTTCATTCTGTTTTAAGAAATATTTATCCAAGCATGATGAGTAAAATCTTTAACTTTAGTACAGGTTTAACTAAGTTTCAGATATTCTCATGATTATCATGCAGACACCTATTGTTAAATGCTTAATGATACAGAAGAAAATGCGACGAGTTGTTGAAAAACAGATGACTAAAATAATGGATACTATAGATTACGGTAATTCAGTAAATAGATAACGGATTGATTCATTCACTTGTGACCGAGTCATTTGAGCAAATTCGAACAGTGTGTCTCATGTTTACTGTATAGTCTCCTTTAGAAACAGTGTAATATTCAATTATAAAATCACATGTTAGTGGGCTGAATAAAGTTATTTATTTAAAGCATTATTTTTGCTTATGATATATACCTATTTGTTTGTTTTTTATTATACTGAACTTTAAGGGTCTTCTGTAATTTGATTTTTAAGACGTATAGTAATCTAATCGCTCAGAAATTTGCAATGATGTTAAGTATAAAGTTACAATTACTACTGGTTATCTTTAACGAACACAACCCTTTCAGTTGATAACATTTCGCTTTACTTACACTTATTTACAATACGGTTAACAATACTATTTATCGATCGATAACTACTTGGTTCATAAATACTCAAAAAAGTAGACCGAATAGCACTGACCTCTAAACAATTATTTCAGCTGTTATATTAGTCATTCTACCATAAATTAGATCATGCCTGTTCATTGTCTTGCTCGCAGACAGACAAAGGGCTTTTCAAAACAGGTTGATCACGTTTCAAAACTAATTTTTTACAAAACGTTCAACAGAACTAGCTCATAGAAAATGTTTTAATTCATGTGAATATTTACCTCATTTTCCATTCTACCAGACTGTGCTAAATGGTTCTGTTACTTAAAGATTCGAGCGTGAAAGTAAATAAACTGATGTTTATGTTTACATTCATGGTTATTCACTAGCAAAGTTTCGTACATTAAGAACGCACATGAATCAGTGAGTCATTAAAAAATAGACAGAATACGAAAACAGTAAATGTATTTCACAATATTAAAGAAAAACAAAAAAGAACAACTGACACGTAAGTAAATATCAAATAAGCACACTATAATTGTACTTCATTCATTTTATAGCTGTCTTTGAATGAAATGTAATATCAAAAACCTGAAAATCATAAAGAAAAAGTATTTAATGTACTTTGTGGAGTTTCGAAAACATGTGAATATATCATAGGATTATTACTGTTTATTGAAAATTGATATTGTGCTGAGCTTACAGAATCAACAGATATTGTTCTGCTTATCTCATTATACCATCATCTAACACAATGATAATGAATAGCTTCCAACCACTGATTATTCTTTTTTAATGATGAATAGGACTTGATGAGACTGCCTTCTACGAGCTTTGTGGTGCAGTCGTGAAGCTTTCATTACCTATCTGCACAACATGAACCGCCCAAAATTCAAATAATAGTAAGCTAATAGAGTTCCTCATTTTTCGAGTTGTCAACATTAAGTTTGATTGGTCTTTGTTTACGATGGTCCTCTGATTATCTGCACATTTATGTTGATTTTCACCCCTTTTGACCCTCTCTTCTCTTATTGTCAATATAACTGCTTATGAGGTTTCTAACTAATTGATAGTTTAAGTCTGACCGGTCAGAATGTAAAGCTTTCAAAAAAGTTTTCCACATTTTATATGTTGCCTGAAACTACGATTTCAATGTTTTCGCAATCAAGTATGTGTTCACACCTGTCTGCATCCGACGATGTAAGCGAAGAAAAGGTTTTAAGTGGATCAAAATTAATAACCAAGTAGGTGAAGTTCATAAAAATGTGAATATGAATGACGATTTTTAAAATAGATATAGAATAAACATAACGGTTATTTATTTCTTGGAGACAATGGATGTAGTCGTTTGTTTTCGATGACAGTCAACTCAATCAATACGCGCTGTTATCCGTGTATTTCCAAATCAGAGCTTCAATTCAGTACAACATACTTTTGTGAAAAGAAATACATAAGTCACTTACCGTTAGTGACAAATGTTCAGAAGAGTACGGACCAGATGAACATCGACAAAATTTCTTTAGCGCCAATGTCTGTTACGTCTTCCTTCACTGATAAAAGGAAGTACGTTAAATTTGATTTATTGAGAAACATAAATGTAGTTTACATGTTGAAAAATTACCCTGTTATTACTTGTTTGTTTGATCATTGAATATAATTATTCTTCTAATTCAGTATCGTCTACAGAATTGTACAATTTCCTAGTTAAACATCAGTATGCCGACCAGTCATACTCAACATAGAATGCAGTACTTATGTGCATCGGCCCAAGTTGCTACTCCGAGTTGGTACAACGCGGTGAATATGTCAGGGCAAATCGAAGAGTAGCAGAAATAGTAGCAGTATCAATCGTAACAAAAAGATTAAATATCAAAGATACGATTCGAGAAATTATAAATTAGTGAAATGAAAAGACTATGTATCGATAAATAAATCCCCAAAACAAATAGCTCTGTAATTCTTCGACATTGGATGCTGACCACATTAGTTTTAGTGGACTCACCTAGCTGAGGACACTCGGTCACTCATCCACACTAGATCACGAGAGGGAACGCCGTACTCAACATCCCCTGCAATCGCTAGCCAGTCTAGATCAGTCGATCCTCGATATATTGATAATCTATCAAATATATTTTCGAACTTCCTCGCTTCTGTCTTTTGATTATACTTGGTGGGTACGATTCACACATACGTATACACAAAGCTACATGGATCTCACCGGACCACACCACAGAGAACCAGATAGATCATATTTGCATCAATAAAAATTTCCGAAGGACAATGGGAGGTGTGAGGACCAGGAGAGAAGCGGACATAGCTTCAGATCTCCACCTGGTTGTGGCCAAATTGAAACTGAAGCTAAAGAAGAACTGGACAACTGGACAAACAGCACCACAAAGGTTCAATACAGCCTTCCTTCGAGATACTGACAAACTCAATGAATTCAAGGTAGCTCTCAACAATAGGTTCCAAGCCTTACAGGACCTACTGAAGGAAGAAGAAACTACTATGGGGGATAGCTGGAAAGGCATCAAAGAAACATTAACTTCAACGTGTGAAGAGGTTCTTGGCCCCAAGAAGCATCTTCACAAGGAATGGATCTCTATAGAAACACTGGACAGGATCAAAGAAAGAAAGAACAAGAAGACAGCAATTAACAACAGTCGAACAAGAGCAGAGAAAGTTCAAGCACAAGCTGAGTACATAGAAGCAAACAAGAAAGTGAAGAAGAGCATTAGAGCTGACAAGCAAAAATACGTGGAAGAACAAGCAACGACGGCGGAAAAAGCTGCAAGAGAAGGAAATATGAGACAGCTTCACGATACGACGAAGAAGCTAGCAGGGAAATACAGTAAATCAGAGAGACCAGTCAAAGACAAAGAAGGAAGACCAATCACTGAGATTCAACAACAGCGGAACAGATGGACAGAGTACTTTGAGGAACTCCTGAATAGGCTTGCTCCAATGAATCCACCGGACATCGAAGCAGCACACACAGATCTTCCTATAGATGTCAATCTACCAACGACCGAAGAAATCAGAATAGCCATCAGACAAATCAAGAGCGGGAAAGCAGCAGGACCTGACAATATACCAGCTGAAGCGTTGAAGTCAGACATCGAAGTAAATACAAGCATGCTTCATCTTCTATTCAAGAGGATTTGGGAGAAGGAACAAGTGCCGATGGACTGGAAGGAAAGACACCTCATCAAGATTCCAAAGAAAGGAGATCTGAGCAAGTGTGAAAGTTACAGAGGCATTACACTACTGTCAATACAAGGAAAAGTCTTTAATAGAGTGTTACTGAACAGGATGAAAGACGCAGTAGATGCCCAACTTCGAGATCAACAAGCTGGATTCCGTAAGGACCGGTCGTGCACAGATCAGATTGCGACACTACGGATAATCGTCGAACAATCAATTGAGTAGAACTCGTCACTCTACATCAACTTCATTGATTATGAGAAGGCATTTGACAGTGTAGATAGGAGGACGTTATGGAAACTTCTTCGACACTACGGAGTTCCTGAGAAGATTGTCAACATTATCCGGAACTCATACGATGGACTACAGTGCAAAGTAGTGCATGGAGGACGGCTGACAGATGCATCCCAAGTAAGGACCGGAGTAAGACAAGGCTGTCTACTCTCTCCCTTCCTGTTTCTTCTGGTTGCCGACTGGATTATGAAGATCTCGACATCTGAGGGAAACTACGGCATACGATGTACAGCTCAGAACCAATTAGACGACTTGGACTTCACAGATGACCTAGCCCTCCTATCACATACACACGAACAAATGCAGATAAAGACAGCCGGCATAGCAGCAGTCTGTGCATCAGTAGGCCTCAACATACACAAAGGGAAAACCAAGGTCCTCAAACACAACACGGAGAACAGCAATCCAATTACTCTTGATGGCGAAACTCTGGAAGATGTAGAATCCTTCAGGTACCTGGGAAGCATCGTCGATAAACAAGGAGGTTCAGATGCAGACGTCAAGGCGAGGATTGGCAAAGCTAGAGCGGCATTCCTTCAACTGAAGAACATATGCGACTCAAAACAACTTTCAACCAATATCAAAATCAGAATCTTCAATACCAACGTCAAGGCAGTTCTACTGTACGGAGCTGAAACTTGGAGAACTACAACAACCACCATCAAGAAGGTACAGGTATTTATCAATAGCTGTCTACGCATGATACTCAACATCCATTGGAAGGATACCATCAGCAACAGCTTTTTGTGGGAGAGAACCAACCAGCTTCCAGCTGAAGAGGAAATTAGGAAAAGACGATGGAAATGGATAGGACATACATTAAGGAAATCATCAAACTGCATTACGAGACAAGCGCTAACTTGGAATCCTGAAGGGAAGCGGAAAAGAGGAAGGCCAAAGAACGCATTACGTCGGGAAATAGAAGCAGATATGAAAAGGATGAATAAGAACTGGAAAGAGCTTGAAAGGATTGCCCAGGACAGGGTTGGATGGAGAATGCTGGTGAGCGGCCTATGCTCCTTCTCGAGGTGTAACAGGCGTAAGTAAGTAAGTAAGTAAGTAACATGGGTCAGTTCAGATATCAATGACTTCTTGGAATCATGCTCTGCCTTTGTTTGGCTACTACTGCCTTTCTTCTGAAATGCTTTCATATCAGAGAACGTCGCCCATCGAGATAAGCGGTGGTTGAGCATACCTAGCACATGGCTTACACACTCCGGTTTATGAAGATTTACTACTTCACTAATCAATTTGTCGACTTTACCACACACCTTGTTCCTGCCTAACTTATTGTCGACTCCAGGATCCTAAAATAAGCGAAAATTACTTGGGAAGCATCTATGGTCGAATATTAACAAGTTGTAAATATCCTCTATTTTTAATAAACATGTTTTACAGCTTTAAAGTACAACAAAGTGAATTACTATGCTGCAAACTTATCCTTTAGTTGGCAGACAGATTTCTCACTTATTTTATGAATGGCACATTTTGTTAAACAGATTGATACCATGAAACAAGTTTATGTTTTTAAAATACTTCCACCATGTTATTAAACTCATATCTAACCTGATGTAAGGTAAATCTACTGAATTTCAATATATTATGAAGCATCGCTTCCAATGTGAACATAACCAAATGGTGACAATTACTGAATCCTTGCAATGTGATTCGATCAGTTTACTTGCTCTTGTGAAGCAACTTATATTGACCGTACAGATATCACACTCGGTAAACCAATATCCGAGTACCACCATGCATATTTATCCAAATGGATATATAAATCAATCATTATCTCAGTTCTTGAGCACATGCTCAATTCTGATAATACCCCACATTTTAAATCCAAGCCCTATGTCTATAAGAAGCTCGTTCAATTCCTTATTCTCCCGTGATCTTAGCATCCCTTCAAGTTTTAGTAGGTATTGAGACAGAAGACCTGAGAAATATAAACTCACCTTGTACTTTGCCAGAAATTTCTAGTGATATATACCATCACAAGATTGTTGTGAAGCACAGAGAATGTAAACGTGTTAATCCCCTAGATAGCTGCAATTGTAATCTAATATTTGTAGAAGTGATTTCTGGTTGCATACTTTCTAAGGCTAATTGATAGTGTTTGACACTTCTTTAAATTTAGTATAACTCAAAATTTTCATCCTAGCAAAACTGAATTTTATATCCCTCTTATCAGCGTAACGATTTTACAAAGTTGGTCGTACCATATATAAAATGACGTGATAATAGGCGGTCTGTTCATACTAAGCAACTGTATACTTGATGAATGACATAAATCAGCGTTTATTTAACTTCTGAAAGGTTACTTAAAGCTTTACGAAATCCTGTGAGATTAGAAATGTATGCACCTAAACATGTATGATAAAAGATGATTTGCAAAACCTCTAAAACGACAGTCAGATTCCTTTATTTGTAATATAAATGCCTCACTTACTCTGAACTTGAACCACGATCACTAGAATGACCACGCCGATTTGAGTGTGAACCATGTCGTCCCCGACTATTTGGTAAAACAATGAAAAAAATCATATATGTTATTGACTGTCAAACGACTATAAGAGTGACTGTGGTGTTGTTTACTCCAAACCGTGGACCATATTTATTTCAATAAAACAATAGTTACTAATGACACTGATACTGTCATGCTTAGGCACACGATTTTGATATGGTCAGTTCATCAGCCACAAAAGGTTTATATTACGAAATAACTGTTTTTGCCTTTATACTTTTAGATCTCAAGTTTTGATGTGTGTACCCGTGTTACTTGAGTAGTGAATTGAATGATATTATTTCTCTACTTTTCTGTTACTGAAAACAAATTAGTCACTCACGAAAACACTGGACATCAATCAGCCCAAAGCATCTTTATTAAACTAAAGATCATAACAATATATAATGGTTCAAGCAGATACAGTAAATTTTAATTTCTTTAGCACTAGCCGAATGTGATCGATTTTATTCTTATCGCTCACAAGACTGACATATATTTAGTTAATGTCTCAATAAGATTAAAAAACGTGAATCATTTCACATGTATTAGTAGGTTCTGTTGAGATTAGTTACATTGGTTTACTAGCAATAGGAAAACTAGATTTAACAAAAAAATCAGAATGAATATAGTATTTGCCTACAACAAAGGAAGTAAACGTTTTGAAAACTCCATTCATAAATAAAATAAAATAAAATGGTCAATGCGTTCCAGCGTTGGAAATGTCGGCATTTAAATCACGTATACAATTAAGGGAAATATACTATAAAGTACCATAATTATTTCAAAATAACTCATAAAAATTATCTCCGTTAAATTTTAAGACGAATAATGACTGCATATATTTCATTGTAAGTGTGAACTGATATATATTCTATTGCTGCACTTTAGCAGTTTGAATAAACAGTACCTTAAGCAAAAGAAACCAAGCTTTTAAGGTAAGCTGGCTATTGAGTCGTTCTTCATGGCTATCTCAAAGTCTCAAACCACAAAAAAGTATTTTTCACAGACTCTCGGCCTATAATAAATTTTCTGCGAATACTGGATAACCAAGAGACTCAAGTACTTGAATTTTCAAGATGATATCTAAATACGTCTTGTGAAATAATCGTTTGTTTTTTTGCGTATTCTAATTGGCATGAATACTAAGCAACCAGCAATATTTTTACTGTTCAAAAATAGTTACACAAATAATAGTAGTGATCAAACGTACTTCCAACTTGGCCCTGAACCTCTGTAATTGCGTTTATCAATGTCAGAGTCATCCTGAAATGAGAAGATAACAAGAACTTAACATCAGACACGAAAGTTGCTGAATTAATATGATCAACGTAACTGAGTAGTACAATTTTTTCATTTTCTTACTAATTATAGCAATAATCAAAACGCTTATTTGCTACTCAGTGGACATGACAATCAAGTTAGAATTAATAAACGACTAAATAAATCAGTAGGAGTTTTGTTATATTTATGATTATTAGATGAGATCTTTTACTTTGCAGATTTCTACAAACTGAAGTATTATTAAAAGTAATTAAATATTGATAATATGCTTTTATTGTCAGAAACTGCTTTAGATTCCTTCCTAGAATACTTCAATCATCTGACCTTGTGATTATTTTATCGAATGCAGTCATAATCGTTAGTGTGTGATCCGTCGATGTAATAAAAATAACAGCGCTGATAAACATAAAGACTCTTTTATTTCCACTTAGTGAAGACAAAAGGGCAAAACATCGTTTGTAACTTGTTTTCTACGAATGTTTAGAGCAAATTTCTTAAGTGATAAAGAATTGTTAAGGATGTGTTGGCTAAGTAACTATTTCCCCAACAGTTTATACTAATCGCTTTTGCGGTTGAAGGCGTTTTCTATTGATGCGCTTTGTTAGAAAGTTTTGTTTTGAAAAAGCTGAAGGTCAGAAGTTGAACCTTATATAAAAGTTTGATGTAGACCAAATAAAAACTGTGAGATTTTTATAAAACATCTGCACCAGCGATATTATCACTTTTTTTAATTTGCTTACTTTGCCTTGTAAAGACCTCCAAACAACCATTTTATTCAGAACTTCAGAATAGCAAACGCTTTTACAAATACCTAAAGCTCAAAACTCATTCCGCGCATAATATTTATGTTTGTTTCATATTATTTGGATAACTACCAGAACTAGTTTTTAGTTTCAAAGAGGACTATTGTTGTTAAAATCATCTGCGTGCCGCATATATGTAACATTTGATACATTCACGCATAATATTACACGATGTTTCAATAAATTCACGATGATTTAGACAAGTCAAAAGTGAGATAATATCCACAAAAGTATGTTGATATCTATTAAAATAACACTACCTAAATTTGCTTACTCACCGAATCCGAGCCATTAAAATGTCGTCTTCCCGTATTCCAGCCTTGACAGCCAGGTTGTTGATTATAGACATCCTGTCCATACATTCCATTTCCTCCAAAAGTCCCAGGCCCGCCACCATAATAGTTTGGCTATGAAACGTGATATCAAAACATCGAAAAAAACATTTTTGAATTTTCAGTATTAACATTCACACACACACATACGTTTTTCTAGAAACATGTTTGTTTTATAAGCAGAGTTTTACCCACCCATTTTTAAGACATGAATAAAATAATGAAGTGACAAATATGAAATCATATTAATATCTTAGATTTAGTAGAAGTTAAAGGATGCAGTTTCGAAGAAATAGCAATGAATTTGAGCAATGTCACTTTTGGTGTGTAAACACTGATTTTAATTATCTAGCTTACTGAGATGTTTTATGTCTTACATCTAAATTCTTATTCGTAAATGTTTATGAACGAAATACAGAGGTCAGTGGATGAATAATAATCATACAGAAAATTTATTGCTTTTGTATCTAGCTAGTCGAATATAAGCACCCTATCTAAGACTCTTATCGACGTTTAATTCGCTTTTTGAGTAATAGAGAATCCGATGGGAAAGTTCGAAAAGTTACTCAAACACATAAAGACCACGCAACTGTGAAAAGGGACTCACATTCATATTGCCATATCGAGGGTCCATGCGATTATTGTAAACACCTTCACTTGGTCCAAAACCCGGGTCTTGCAGATTAAATGTGTTTTGGCTGGCATCGAAATGACCGCTTTTGTCTCCCTTATGGAAAGGCATTGTGCTCAGTGAACGTATGGCAAGCGATAACCCATTCTCATATTTAAGTGCTGTAAACGACCTTGAAAAAACATTGCCCATTGAAACAAATGTATCGCAACAGAGTCACACAACTAGTTTTTTTATTAACACAAATAGAATGATTTACACTCTTAAAAACATCAAGTTACGTGATCAGCAAGCAATCTTAGAAGTTTCAAATAAAAGCTACGTGAGTTGAACTTTGCATGAGAAACTAATACTAATTAAAATCTATAAAATAAAGTGTAAACCATTAAATTTTATGATGAACAGTGAAGTAGATATCATTTCAGATACTTATTTCGTTGTAAAAGATATGAAAATACTGAAAACTGAATTAATAGTTTCAGGATACTAACATTCATTGCTCTGAATTATGTTTTGGTGAATTATATTCAAGGCCTGTAACTACAAAGGAATGAAATTTTTCTGTTTGTGCATGTTATCTACTATGAATTATTCATCTGAAGCTTACAGTGAATCGTCACTGTATATGTACATCACGAAGGAAGGCGATATGCTTGAATATCTGGGATACCTGTTACTGTCAACCAAATATTTGAACAATCTATATATCTTTTGTTTCTTTTGACAGATCATTATGGGAATTAATTGCACGACCTATTCAGGTGCGTTTGTGAAAATTTCTCTGTACAAATTACGAAAGAGCACTATCAAAATCATTTTAGTTGCTGGCAAGGAATGTACATTATTCAGTTATGCATTCTCGAACTGCTAACATCTAATTAGTGATCACTCAATATTTATCGTCAATATTAAGAAAACCTGTAAAAATAGTTTTTAATGAGAATTCTATATTGCACTCAAAGTGTAATTCAGAATACAGCTAATAATAATGATCAAGGTCTTGCTGAAGTTGGATGGAACTAGAGTGACTTTTGGACAACATAAAAATCACACTTCTCGGTTGATACCATTTCGTCGTATCCATATTTTGACAACAGTACAACGCTAACAACGCTATTACAGAAATATATTTGTATGAGTAGGTACAAAAAAACGAAAAGTGATTATTCACAAGTGCATTACCAATAATGACGAGAAAAAATTATGCCAGCAAAACCTAGATCAGCGTATTCAGAGATAAAACACTTCAACATCCCGTGTCGGAAGCCGATCCACACAAAGCAAATTTGAAGTTTGAGCAGCAAGAACTTGAAAACTCACAAAATCAACTACATAGAATGTTTATTCTAGGTAGTGATAACACCCTGAAGCATACTTGCATGACAGGAAAATGACATATCCTCACTTATGTTAATGCATACGAACAACTGTAGAAACAAATTTGACTGGAAAAATATTAGAACCTTATGTAGAGAGAATACAGAAAGCACAAGATGATTTTTATAAGCTATGCATTCAAATCAATCAGCAATCGAGAAACGTATTGAAATTGATTCAATCTGTCGAACAATCCGAAAAGTAATGGACAAATACTGAACTAAGAATCAAATCAAAGGAAGATACAATAGGTATAAGGAGCAGATAGTGACAGGTTGAAGGTCAAAAATAAGCAATCAAAGCGAAGGCATACAGGACATGCTGTGAGTCATATGTAAAAAAATCGAACGCTTCATTTTTACTTGAGGTTTGTGCTAATGATGAAAGCTCCACGACCGTTAAGAGAATAGATTATGGAAATCCGCATTAAGATATTTTTCACATTATTTTTCCGCGAATTACTACAGACTGTGCGTAATGACGTCTAAAAAATTGGTGCTTATTTTCACAGTTGTATTATCCGGTTGTTGGTATCAAGCATTGAATTTCGGTTATCTTTTACTGTACCTTGTAACAATGCTGCACAGTTTCCATGGTTACATCCACTTTGTAAAAAGCTTTACCATATTTTAAAAGACATGTACTCATTAGCTATTAAAAATACGTCCTACAATGAATTTCACCTCAGCACTGTTTTACAAGTGACACGATATTTGTAGTGAGCACGGACCCTAAAAAGTGGACGGAAAGCTACATTTATCCAGACAACTTTTAAAAGGATTTTTATCAAATCACCTAGGAGAAAGTGAATTTCGGAATACAAAGACAGTGAGATCATTCATTGGCTCATTTTTGCAAAACAATTAAAATCGTACACAAACCAAAATATAAGCATACTGAACAACAAGTAAGAACATAAATTCCAGCATCTTTTTCTATTTAACTGCTAGTCAGCTATTTTATGATAAACTAAATCACTTTCCCCTAACCCGTGCTTTAATTTAAAAATTGATAAAGTTAATGCAACACAATATGAATACCTACTAAGTTTTTATACTTTCTAAAGGTTATGTTATCTAAAATTATCGTCCACTTAATAAGTTTAACGAGTAAAAACATCCAATCATTTTACCAACAAATCACTTCTAAGATAATTCACTCTAAGTGTCTTTATCTACGTTAAGCAATAATGAATCTCCGCTTACGTTCTTGATTCATAAGTTTATAGGTTATAAAATGCCTTTTTTGGTAAGCATCAGTTTCATTGGCGAATACGTTTTGAAAGACATAATCACAGTAAACCATGACAAATCAGATAAATCGAATTCTGATTGTCTTATCATACAGTGAATCATTCGTCTATACTAGGTGAATTATTATGTGAGTCTATGTGATAACCTATGATGTTTTGCTTCACGCACTCTAATGATTTGGCATTTATCACGATATATGATGTTACCAAATAATGTATAACGTAGTTCATCTAAATAGACCTGTATATAATGCCTACTGATGGCCACAATAAACAACCTGAAACTGAAATTATTTGACCAAAAGAAAATAAATCAAAAAATAATCCTCTTTTCAGAGCTGATCCCTTAAAAATGTCTATCATCAAAATCATATTCTCTAACACTAAGAAAAAAGATTTTATGTGAACCGAGTCATTAAAATGACGATTCTAGTGATGTCAGGTTTTTTTTATGTTTGACGCTACTTATGATATTGCTTGTAAGTAGTATGTATCAAAACATGACGTTGAAGTTGTCGCAGTTACCAGATGGGGAGGAGAGTTCTAGTACATCCATAGCATAGCGTAAAACACTTAATGAACAAACGAGAAGATAGTTTGGATTGCAGAGAATACCGAAAGATCCAAATGGATGATCGAAGGTTATGTATAAGTGTTATATAAATGCTTTGCGATTTTTCAGTAGGAAACCCATTTGGACTCAGTCTTTTTCTACATTCAGCATCATGAAACCTCCAGCGCTTTTACAGAATTGAAAGGAGATTTTAGTTATAGCACAACCGTTAGAACGTCAAAGGTGATGAATTTTTGTCTTTGTAAGTTTCTTTGCCTTCCAATACTTGACTATATCGTAACTGATTGATCAATTGAATTTTCCGATGTCTCCGTTGATTTTCTGTAGTTTTCTTGTTTTCTGTTTTCCATAAAGTTCAGGTCAGAAAGTAATCTACAAACTTTGTTATTAGGGACAGTATTTAAAGCACTGTCGAATAAATAACACAAAAACACGTTTCAAAAAAGGCAAACGACAACTATTGTGGTGGCACGTTTTCTTGTCTGACATTATAATAACATCAATAAGTTGGCTTCATATCAACTCCATTTATGAACTAATAACGCAGTAAAATGTATTCATCAATTCCAACCCACATAACAAAATGTCTGATATACTTTAACGTGCATTAAAATGTAGGCTTCCTATATAAGACTTGAAAATTCTTCGAAAAGTGTTGAAAAAGTACACATGGCATAAATTGCCTACTGTGTGAATAATTTAGTTTATTTTAGTTCATTCTGATAAACATTTATCACATGTGTAGTTACTTTTCACCTAAAAGAATTTATGTAACACACTCAATAGTAATAAAACCCTTTGTTTAAAAATCACCAAATAAAAAAAATCAATAACGGTAATGTATTTTTAACGAAGAAAACTGTAAAGATTGTAAAATGCTTTTTAAAATTAACAAGAGTTCACCCAACTAAAGGCGTAGTTTAGCCCTGAATTCAACATATATATATCAAGGGTACGAATAGTATTTCTCGACCCATATCAGAAATCATACTAACATGACTTGCAACATTGAATATTATGTAAACAGATTAAACTACTCGTTATTGAGCTATATACTAATATAAAGAAGAGCGAAGAAATGAAGACTTATTAAAAGTATGAAACTACCTGGTTGGGTTTAACAAATAAATCCCTGTGAGACGACTATGTAAGAAATATTATAGATAGAAAAACGTTGTCTGTAGGGAAACTTACCATATTTATCGAGTTCGTAACCTAAATTTGGTATGCCATTTGGTAAAGAAAAACTTACATAAAATCGGTCAGATCTGAAGTTCTCATCACTTTTTTAAATCGTTTCCTACATCTCAATACTGCTTCAATGGAAACAAGCTAATTGAGATTTCCAAAGCGTTGGTAACTTTGATAACATTGTCCAGAGGTTATTTTGATAGAATACATAAATGTATCATTCATTTCTCTAAAAAACTATGTCATCATAATGGTTTGCAGATATTTCATTAATTCATTTAAATGTAATTTTTCACTTTCATTCACTTCTATAAAAAATAACTCAGAAGCCGAAAATATTACGATATATTTGATCATTTTAGGTTAAATATTTTCAAAGAAAATAAACAAAAAGTTGATTAAAAAGTACATGGTTACTAAAAGTAGAAACTTAGTGAATGAATACAGAAATCGAAATAAGCTTAGTGACCATGCATTAACAATTCAAATGATCAGAAGGGATTTTGTGGAGATTGTAGTAATTTCAATAGTTGAGATCATGAGTCAATTGAAGCTAGAACACCATGGAAAACCTGGAGGCAATGGACGGCCGTTTCGTCCTATTGTGGGACTCCTGGTCCTGGTTTCGAATCTCGAGAGGTGGGGTCGTGGATACGCTCTGCTGAGGAGTCCCATAACAGGACGAAACTGCCGTTCAGTGCTTCCACATATTCCATG